AGGGCGAATGGAACAGGCGGACCGTGTTTCGCTCGCGTGCACCGAAAGGCGCGAATGAATTATGTTAATGAATTCCTTAATGAGCTTCCTCTCACGCCCGTGAGATCCGGCAAAGGAGCGTAGATACTCATATTCTCACCTCTAATTACACGGCGCGAGAAAGAGACGTTTTTTTTTTTCAAGGGGACTAATAGGAATTTATTTCGTTAGACTACCAGTCTTTAATTGATAAAAATCAGAGGACGATTTGAGGGAGGGGGGGGGGAGGAGGGAGGGGGAATGGAAAAGGGAGAATCCAAAAATATTGTCACAATTATTTTATTTTATATTAAATATAAATATAGTTCGTAATATAAATATATAGTTCGTTAAATATCAAACTGGACTCGAAACCTGGAAGGTGTCGCTCGCGTTCTCCATTCCTCGAAACTCAGGTATTACCGGTGTTCCGCAGGCGCGTGTGTACTCGGCCAAACCGGCAGTATCTTGCGAATACTTGGCGAACTTGGCGTCTCTCTCGTCCGTTCTCACCAACGAGAGTCAGTCTAAAGAGCATTCCACGGACTTCGCTCGTCGTGCGGCCGGTTTCGGAGTCAAAGGTTCATCGTACACATCCCGTTTATCGTTTATTGCACGCACGCACTAATGAACGAGCCATTTGTCTCCGGGGCAGTACTGCGGTAGGTACAGCCCCCCCTCCCCCCCCCCGAGTCCTCTTTTATAACGCGGCCGTTGAGCGACCGCGACTTCCGAAATATCCTAATTAGAACGCAGGTGCCGCCTTAAGACGCGAATTACCCGGCGGCGACAAATTGCGCGGTCGCGCACGCGAGTTTTTCCTTCGTCGTGTATCACTCCACGCCGGATTTAATTGCCTTATCGGAAATCTTATCTGCTCGTGGCTCGCTCGTGATTTATTATTGTAACCGTTTTAACCGGCGTTTTTTTTTTTTTTTTTCCCTTCGAGCAAACATCGTCATCTGCGACGGCGATACTTAGATTGACGATTCATCATGAGGGTATCTCTCGCGGATGATCTCCGCGGAAGCGTCATTCTCTCCGCATTCTACGGAAATGCGTGGTAAGCAATGAATAATAACCGTGGCAGTTAGTGTGTCAGAGATGATGACTCATGGTGTTGGCTTCATGATGACGAGACAATATTTATGAAAAGTGCGTATGCATCTAATTACGCGCGTGCCGTAATCGTAAAATATAAATAACCTTATACGTTTTTAATAGTAATAATAATACCTCGACCGCTGTCAAATATGAGAGACATAAATGGCGTGTTACGTAATATACTCTCCTGCCATAATGAAAGGCTTAACCAATCTCAGAATGACGCGAATGACATTATATCTATAATCTTTAATTATCCTCTCGTAAACATTCAGCTCGCATTTTTATTCGATTTTAAGTAACGAAATATAAAAATCTAATCGCTCATTCCGGGGACAATGAGGAACGTTCGAATTGATAGACACGTCGCTTACGAGTGATTCACGATGATTTTATGATCGGCAGCAACGTCGCCCCGCCATTGTGTTAAATATTATCTTTAGTGCGGAGGTGTCGCACTCGGATAAATTTATAACTCGTCTCGGACGGGTTGGCGAATTGGCGACGACGAGAAACGAGACGGCGTTTTTATTTCCGCGAGACGCGTTTAAAGACGCGTTTCTCGAGGGTTGTACGCGTATTATGCACAAAAGCCGTCGCGTAGCGCCAGGCTAATTCTGAGCTACATAGGACGTTGCATAATACGTCCGGTTATTTATGCAGATCAGGATTTGCGCGTTACGTAAATAGATCGCCACCGCGGAGCGTTTTTTTTTTTTTCGCGCGTACCAGGCGATTGTCTGGCCGCTTGACCGCCTGGCACCGCACTTTTGCAACTCGTTCTTAGACGAGGAGCGAGGAGATGTGACAATTAGACTAAATCTAGCTACGCCCCTTCGCACCGATCTGTTATTTTCAGAAAGCTGATGCCATTCACGCTTCATGGCCGTAGTCAATTAAAAGACACAACAACTCTATTGCCGGATGCCGCATCTACTCCTAAAAGGATACAAAATGCCATTGAAAAAAAAAATTTAATTTTTCCGAAACAGCTTTAACGCTGTTAACTGGAAACATTTTTATAAGATTTCTCGATATTTTTCGGATGTGAAAAATATATTAAATATTTTATTAAGTATCTTGCCTGTATATGTAGAAAAAAAACAGATTTTTTTTTTTGGATTGAAAAAATTTCCGTAGGAATATATGAAAAGAATTTTGTTGTTTGAAATGTTTAAAAATTTTACTAGATATGGATCTGAAAATAATTTTGTCAATCCGTAAAAATTATTATGTAGGATGTTTAAACATGATAATAATACGACAAACTTTTTTATATTCTAGCAAACAATTTGAACGTTTTATATATTTTGGTGACTCGATAGAAATTATTCTTTGTAATTGATCTCATTTTTAAATATGTTAGTAAAAATGTTCTTTGTAAAATATATTATTGACTCTGTTAAACAGTAGCGGTGTATTTCTGTCTCTCTCTCTCTC